GTGCCAGTGCTTGTCCAAGAATCATCTATGATCATACAGACCTTGGAACTAATTAAAATCATTCAGTGACTATTGACATATCTTGCATATGTTTTCATTTCTCTGTTTCTAGTTTTTCCCTTTTTAGAGTTCAAATTACTATAATTCATGTTTTGAATGGTTTGATTTAATGTCTGATTCATAAATCAATGCAGAAGTGTTTTTCTTGAGCACTTTCACCTCCCTTAGGATACTGAATGTGCTGCCCTGTCGAGAGATGCCTCAGCTCTTGTCTCAGCAAGGATCAAAGCCTAGTGCTGCCCTAAAATGCTTCCAGTCTAGCAAGGGAAGTGTGGAATCATGAGAAATCAGCCATCCTAGCTCCAGAGGAGCTGCTCACTGCAGCCCCTTCCTGACAGCATCCAAAGGACATTTCATAACCTCAGCCCAAGCTGTCATTGTCTCAGGAAGCTTTTCTGGTCTCTTGCCTAAACATCCCTCATGACAGTTTCAGCCTGTTGCTTCATGCCATGTCTCCTATGCAGCTGGGCAAGATTTATTCTCCTTGTACAGAATCTGTAAGGTTGGGAAACACCACATTGAGGATGGTGCCTGCAATTTTGTGGCTCTTTGGTGTGTTACATGTGGGGAAATGGGTGTCTCCTTCTTTGCACCCAAAGTGGATGCAGCAGATGCATCTGTATCAGAATGAAGGCTCTGCCACTGGGACAAGACCACACTGTTCATGCACATGTTCTTACAGCTACTTAGTGTGGTGAGACAGGGAAGAGCTGTGGCCCTGGAGCAGCCTGGCTGCAGGGGCTCCTGAGGCACAGCACAAACACTCCTGGAATGATTTAAGAGATTCCCTTGTGCCCGACCCCCAGCGAATTGTGGAAGGACGAGGGAACAAGACGCTCTGGGTCTGTGCCAGCTTTTAATGCCCTGCGGTTCCTCTGCCGGCGGTAGGAGCAGATACACCACCGCTGGAATCTCGGGATGCAGCGCGGTGCTTACCTCATCCTCAGGCTGTGTCTGCAGGAGGAGGAGGGGAGGATGGCAGGGATAATGAGAGGATTATTTACAGCCAACCTCGCCGAGCCCTGCAGCTTGTCTGTGCTGCTTTCAGAGCCGGGGCTGAGCGGGTTGGGATAATTTGGGAACACGAGGCTGGGAAGTGATTTAATTAGGACGTGGAATTTCTATCTCCTGGGTGTCAGCCCACCTCCACCCCCCAGTTTCCAGTGCTGGGGGCTCCCTTTTGCCTCCTTCCAGCATGGGCAGGGCTCAACTGTGCAACTGGGTCAGTGCCTGCTTATTCCAGTGGTTAAATTGTCTCTGACATCGTGTTGGGATGCACCTGCGACTCCTGCTCCCCTGTGCTTCCCCTTGCAAAAGCTCAGTGATCCCTGTAAGAGCTCCCACAGTCCAGTGATCCCTGTGATTCCCACAGCCCAGTTATCCCTGCAGCTCCCACAACTCCCACCCCCCGGGGCTGTGTGGGCAGCAGTTGTGAACCTGTGTTCTGAAACCTCTGAAATCATAATCGGCTCAGTCCTTGTGGCCATCCCTGGAGCATCCCTGAGCTGCCTTTGGGGCCAGGGGCTGAGATGCAGACTCAGTCACTTGCTGCCATTTAAAGGGGGTGGGAGGCAGCCCCAGCATCAATTTGCTCTCTAGTACAAATCCCGTGTTATTCCCCCCTGGATCTGTGTTTCTCCTTGTCCCCTTTGCACCTGCCTTTGGGGAACTCTCCTCCAGGGGCACAACAAACTAGCACTTCCCTGCTAGTTCCTCCTAGTCCAGCAGCATCACTGGTGAGGCTCAGCCATCCCCGCTCCCACGCTGTCCGTAGGGATTATCATCCAGAGCTCACATTATCCCTCTTAGCCCAGCCTGGAGCACGTGTGCCAGAGCAGCTCCTGCCCCGTGGCTCCTAAAGCTCTTCCCAGTTCCTGGAGCCCCAGCACTGGTGGCTCCACCACTGACCCACATACCTCCCTGCAGCCCTGGAATTAGATTGATTCCATGCAGCCTGATTACACCATTGCCAGAGCTCCCAGGAAATAGGGCTTTATTTATATGGTTAAGCTAATTTGGAGAAAGATACTGCTTTGGTAAATGGCTGTAATATCAGCCACAGGGAAGCAGCTGCTCTTGGAGCTCTGTGAAACAGGGTCTTGGAAGCTGCACATGGGGATGGTTTGGAACTGGGAGCGTAGATGGGGGTGATGTTTTTTTCTCTCTACAATTCCAGGCTGCCATCAGCCCTGCTGCTCCTGTTCACTTTGGATTCTTTTTTTTTTTCCCTGCTGATAGAATTTTCAGGAACAAATCCCTGTAGGAGGGCTGCCTGGGTGCCAGGGGCTGCTGCCACCCCCTTTTATTCCATGTGCATTAATGAGGAATCAATTTAAAATCAATTAAGATACATTCTGCAAAGACCATGTTACTGCAGTAACACATGTATTACACATGAACCGACCAAGTTTGTAATCCTATTTGAAAAGAAAACCCCTAAGTGTGCTTGAGAGGCCCCAGTGGCCTCCCAGGCGTCCGGTAATTACGTTTCAATCCTTTAATTCCCCACGGGCTGCATCCCTGGCACCTCCTGCCTCGGCTAGGGGGACCCTGTGCCCACCCTGGCTTTGTGTGCCACGGCACAACAGCTATTTCTGTGCAGTTTTTACAAATGAAGGGTTTGAAATAGATTAAATATCAATGCTTACGAGGCACGTTCAACAACTCTTTGGTCTTTTGTCAGGTGAAAAGGCTGATCCAGACACCCCGATGGGAGAGCTCAGCCCCTGTGATGTGATGCCACCGACTTTTCCTGCACAGGGGAAGATGAAAGTGCCCATCCTGCTCTGTGACTGCTTTCCTGCCCTTCCCTAGCCATACACTGGGCTCCCCTCTCCTACTGTATCCCTGTGTTCTTTCTACTTGCCTTTCTCCTGCTGACAATGGATTTATTGCTGAGATTAAAAGCCGAGTTGATAAGGAGGGTTCAGCCTCTGCCTCCCCTGGTGCCTGTTCAGCACTTGCTTTTTTAATGAAGAATGACTTGGTTATCTCCAGCAGGAAACTTCCCTAGAGAAGAGCAGTGGTGGGGATGGAGGTATCTGTGGGTTATCTCAAGCCACTTGCACTTTAATTGCTATTAATTGCACAAGTTCTCCCATCCCTTCAGCTCATAACCCTTGGCAGCTCTGGTGACCCTGCCCTGATGCTGCTCAGCATCATCCTTGTTGCTGGCAGAGGGTTCAGGCCTGTCTGGTGTTTATTTGTGTACTGTAACATTCAATTCTCAGCCTACTTCAGTCCCATGGGGCCCTGGTTTCCATGGATCTGGCCAGACCCCATCCTTGTGACCAGAACCCCCGTGGCAGCAGAGTGAGCAGCACATCCCTCCCCTTCCCCACACCTTTGAGGGGCTTTCTTGAGCATCAGCCAAGGAGCAGCAACCCAGATGGCTTCTTGGGGACACACAGAGAGCACAATCAGCCAAAGCCATCGCAGAACCAGTGTTTATGAGGGTGACTGAGTCAGCCTGTTGCTCACAAGCCACAACACAGAGGTGCCAAGCAGGGCCACAGCACGGCAGGGATGCTGCTCTGGTGGCAGCAGTGGCAGTGTGGGGGTGAGGTGGGACATGAAGCAGCACTGGCAGACAGAGGGGTTCACCAGGTGTATTATACTGAGACCCCCACAGCCCCTCTAGGCCCCTCCAGGGACTAGCCAGCAAGAAGCAATGGGCCAGCTTGCCCGCAGTCTCCAGGGGCTCCTCACAGGATGGAGCAGTGTCCATGCTGCAAGGCCTGGCAGGTTGGCAATCTCATGCTCCACTTACATCCAAAACACACAGAAACCCCCTTCACTTCCACTTTTCCCATGGGTAAACCAGGTAGGGGTGGCTGCAGCAGTGCTGCTGGGGACCTCCCATGACACCCACCCCCAGAGCATGGGGATGATTGCTGGGGAGGAGGCAATACTGAAAAGCATCCTCTGAGCCCATGCCAAGCCCCAGAGAGCCTGGGAGGGGCATCACAGGGGGCTGAGCCCCTTTGCCATGACAGGCTGTGCTGTTGGGGTGCAGGGGAAGCAGGGAGCTGGCTCCAGAAAGCCCAGCCCAGGGATGCTGCTGGGGATATCCAGGGACAAGGCAACAAATCTGGGGTCCTGAGTACCCACAACCTGCTCAGGACTGGGGCACAAGCCTGGCCCTGGTGTGACCTTGCAGCAGGCCCCCAGCCCACCTTCTGACAGCTAATTCCAATGGCTGGGAAGATGCAGTCATGTCACCCTCCACTGGCTTCCCGGGGGCCCCGGCCCAGCCACCCACTCTGGCCACGTCCCTTCTCCATCTCACATCCCCAGCTGCCCCTTGGACCCCTCAGCCCCAGCCTGAGGAAGGCAGGGATGGAGATGGCAGGGATGGCAGGGATGTGTGTTTGCCCCCTGCCTCCTTCCACAGGGGCTCCCCAGGAGGCAGGGGGGCTCCCCAGGAGGCAGGGGGGCTCTGCAGTGCTGCAGCCAGGATGAGAGCCAGAATGGACAGCACTAGGCTGCCTGTCCCAGTCCCTGGGGACCCTCTGCATCCCCAGCTGCATGGATGTGCCAGTGGAAAGCAGATGTGCTGCATGGTGCCTGGGTACACTCGAGGAGAGGTGACAAGGGCACAGCTCCTTGTTAGCAGGACAGGCACTGGGCTGACACCCAGTTCCTGAGTTGTGGGGATGGAGAGGGAGGGAACTGCCCCTCCACGCTCTGTGGGGAGTGCGTGGGAAAGGGCAAAGCATCCTCATCCTCTCCGGATGGAGCTCCACCCCCAGGGCTCCGTGGCCAGAGGCACCGGGAGGAGGAGGAGAAGGAGGGGGGAGGATGCCTGGCTGTGCCGTGGGAGGGTGTTTCGATGCTCTCATCACCAGGTGCCCCCGTTCCCCGAGGGGTCATCTCTTGCACTCGTCGGTGTCGGTGTCGGTGTCGGGCAGCCCCGCGGTGGGCTGGGGGCTGGGCTGGACCGGCTGCACCCTCTCCTCCAGGCTGCCGCTGGGGAACACCACGTAGCGAGCGCTGACTCGCTGGGGCTGCACCTCTCGCAGGTTCTCCTTGCTGTGCCAGATGCCGTAGCCGAAGTAGACGAGGAGACCTGCAGCAGGGACAGGGACAGCAGTGGCTCCAGCACAGTCTGCCCACTGCCATGGGCATGGCTGGCATCCCAGGGGCTGGCATGGATGTGGCCAGCATCCCGGGGGAGCAGCATGAGTCACAGCAGCATGAGCCACAGCAACACAGCAGGGTTAAATGAGCTGCTTGCAGGAGGGAAAGGATCCTGCAGCATGTTAAGAGTAAGGGGAGCACCCTCAGTCCTTGGGAAAGGGAAGCCCTTTGCTGGGAAGGGCTTCCTGAGCCCCAAGGAGCTGCCTCAGGACCAGGGGATGGTTCTGGCCCAGAGAGTCAAGGAGGATCCAAACCTTAACAGGAATAAACTGTAACACTGTGGGAATCAGAGAGACTCAGAGAGATGCTGGAAAACCTCTGCTTACATCTCCAAAGGGGATTAAGAGGCAGAAAGGGGCAGGATACACTTCACAGACCCGTCACCGGGGGAGAGGAGCTGAGAAGCAGCTGGAGGGTGCCAGGACAAGCCTGGTTCCTCCCTCCCTGGAGCAGCCACTGCCCTCCTGGGG